TATTATGTATGCAGAGATTAGCACGATGGGGACTAATTCATACAATACCAGATTCAAAATCAAATGCTTGCAAGGTTTGTTATTTTGGGGGGAGAAATTCTTTTTTATATATAACTTGTAAGCTTACTTCTTTGGAACCATCTCCAATTCTCTTCATTTTTTCATTTTCGTAGAGACAATGCTAGCCTTTTAGATGAAGGAATTATTGCCAGAACATCTAACTTGGAAATGCGGCCCTTATGGGACTCTGGTAAAGATCATGTATGTGTGAGGTGTGCTAATTCTGGGACTCTCGACCACCTTGCAAAGAAATTGGTTGCTCTCTTAAGCGAGACAGAAGGATAGAAACATGTTCTGTTGCAATATCTAACCGTTCCTTAGATTTAGCAGATTCTGTCATCAGAGATGAAACCATGTTTTGTAGTAACTTAACTCTCTCGGCATGATCGTTTGGCGCACTTTGAAGAAGCTTAGAAGAGGGCATGCTTATGCGACGCCATCGAATAGGAAGATATCCATCTGGAATCTGAAAGCAATTTCCTGTTGAAAGAACTCTAAGAGAATGCCGACAAAGAATACCAGTGAACTCGAACTGATGGCAGCTACAACTTATAATTCCTTCTTGAGGGGCCCAATAAACTTTCCGACCTCCCTCAGCTTTGGTGTGGTGCCTCACAAGAAAACCATCTTCAATTGGAAACGATGCATAATGTGCAGCCAGTACAAGTTGTTCTTGGAGCTTTGAAAAGGCAAAAGGAGTGAGGATTGTGGCAGCGTGTGATTCCATAGGGGCCCCTGTTTTGAGGCAAACATTTTGGAGATTCTGCTGCATGGTTTGTTGTTCTCCAGTTTGATCTTTAAAATCCACAGCAACAGCTACCTGATTATGCCAAAAAAAAAACAAGTTAACAGATATAGATCTTTCACTATAAAACATTGGATAAAACCAAATCTGCAAATACACTTTGAAAACTAAAAACAACATCCAAATCAATAGAGACATAAAGATATAATACCTGTTCAACAAAGTGTGCAAGGCGAGTTTGTGCACTCAGAAATCGTTGAATGAAAGCATTGATTGACTTTGACTGACCAGTTGAAGTCATTCCAGCAAGAAAATGGCTTCTCAAAAATGGCAACGCCCAAAGAGAGCGTGAACTATATAAATTAACCATGTGCCGATTGGAGTGCAGCCCAAAAGAACAAACCATTTCCCTCCAACCTAGATCAAAATCCTCAACTGACTCAAGATTATAAAGTCTATAAAATTCAGCCTTCCACTCATTGTACCGTTCCCCTAGAACAGCATTAAACCAAGATGGAAACTTTGCTACTATCATCCATATGCAGAAAGCGTGTTTTGTTGTAGGCATTTCTGTGGATAGTGCTTCTTTGAGACATATATTTTGGTCGGTTAATATAGTTTGTGGAGCCTTTCCATTCATGAACCCTAAGAAAGCCTTCCAAGAAGGTGATTTATAGAAAAAAAAAAGAAAAACAAAAGAAACAAGCAATGTAAATTAAAAAGATGCGTAACTTCTCGTAAATTTAGATTCCACAAGTAAAAAGTGAAAGAAATAAATTTTCAACAGCATTCTTGTCCATTGTATAAGGACTATTATAAGGACACATCTACCAAAGCATAGGCAACTCAACAAGAAAGATTTTGCAGTGGAAGTAATTTAATTGCCATCCACTCATTACCACATGAACATTAGTATGTCCTAGAAACTACCATGTTGTTTATGACTTCAATATAAAATTTGTTGCCCTTCCATTTCGCCTGTTTTCACTAATTAGGGCAGTATGTAAAATATTGAAGAGCCCACGACACAATTTGAATAAAAAATAAAAAATTAATGATGTTAACTTCATCACAGTACCTTTAGTGCCCAGGAAAACGATCTCACAGTTTCATCCCGTAAAAGTGTGCAGCCAAAAAAGCAAGGCATTCCATAATTATTTATTCCAACCCATATCCCTAGCGGCATGTCAAAAGCAGTCAGCCGGTGTGTTGTATCAAACACCACTGCATCACCGAAGATATCGTACCATTGGATTGATGAAGCATAAGACCAAGCAATATTCTCCAAACGATTGTTTGCATCAAGTGTGTAGTCAAATTTAAAATTAGGGTCTTTCTCCTTAATATTTCTGCACATTCTTAATAAATCTAAGCTTTCTTCTTCTGGATCTAATTTCCTAAATGACTGGAGTAAATTCCTTACGTCTTTTTCAGTAAAAGGCAAATATCCAGGTTCCACACACTTCTCAAGCTCCATAAGCCTCATCATTTGATGAACAGAAATTCCTGTTTTGGCAAACATTAGTATTCGATTTTTGTCAACATCCGAGATAGTTCTGTATGCAGGGAGAAATCGAACTTGGTTTGGTTCTAAAAGTTCATGATTATGGTGGTTAGCAAAACCAGTCACACGCCATTCTGGAGCTCCAAATTCTGTTGTTTTGCTAATACGCATATAAGCCTGACACCCACAGCGAGAAGACTTTCTATTTCTTTGAGGTTTGCTTTCAGTTGATGTTTTGACAGGAGTGTTGCCAGCACGGTGACAAACAAAGTAGCGCCTAGTAAGTCCTTTTCCAACACCATCTTTTCCTTCTGTACGGTGACGTCTAATTGAGAAGCCACTCCTTTTGGCAAATTCACTATAGAATTCATAAGCAGCATCATGAGTGGCAAACCTTTGGCCAATGTATGGAATAGCATCATGTGTTGTTTCCAAGGAGAGCCTCGTTTCATCGGGTGACTCCTCAGTGCTGCTTGCATCATCCAAAGATAGTGAGCGTTGGTCCGAGGGATCATCATAAACTACCAACATAGATCCAGCATCTTCAGACATCATATATTTTTCCAGTGACGATATTAAGATATCGCATAGCAGGTACCCAATCTTTTAGGGAGGAAACAAAAGTGAAAATAATCCACTGCCATGATCAGAAATATAAAAATATAGTCAACAAATCAGAAAAACAGCAAGGAACAAACTCATTTTTATATAGACTCAAATAACAGAAAACAATCACTTGAATGCGAACATATATGTTAAAATGACATTAGTGAGTACTTTTTGGAATACAGATTACAAGAAATTCCACTGATAGTTTTCAATCTATTTCTCAAACAATTAACACGAGTTAATTAGATACGTCGTGTTTCATCTTTATAAATTACAATTCGTTTTATTAGATGCTAGAGTTGTATATATCTACACATCTGTTTTGGACAACCAAAAGATGTCAAAGCATAAAGGAATCAGAAAGTGAAAAAAACAGTATATGGCGTGTGATCTAAAGAGGAGTAATGCGGAGAAGAAAGCTAAATTGGAAAGCATGCAAAACTTAAAATTACAGAATTGATGAAAGAAGTAAGGTTTCATAAATAAATAAAGAAATCGAATATATTATATAGAAATGCAATAAAATAATTAGTGGTACCACCGATGTCACCACCAATCTATCTATCTAACTATATTGATTTCTTGAACGTATCGAAATTAAAGAAAGGACAGAGGAAGGAGCAGTTGAAAACGGGGAGGGCGATGCAGCAGATCACGGAAGCACAGAAAGGTAAATGACGGAAGCGGGAAAATGGGAAAAACAATTGTAATCGAAAAAAAAGAGGAAGGAATAGATGAAACTGAGAAGAGAGAAGAGAGAATACAGAAAGCATCGGAAAACCTTCGAACCTGATTCAGCGGCGGCGATCAAATTGGGCACGGTCGAGTGGAGTTAGGGTTTCAGTCCAAACCTACGATTTTCTTTCCCCCTTTCTTATCTTCTTTTACAATTATATACGCTTTGTTAAACCACACCGCTTTTTTCAAACATGACCTTAAAAAACAGAACATTGTATTAATCAATCAAATGATATTTACAATTTAAAAATAATGTTACAAAAACGAAAATGGATCTTTGTCTGTGCCTTTCAGGATTGGAATAAGAGGTAGAAAATCAAAAAGCCATTTGATAATTTTTAAGTACAACTTAAGAAACCTTTTATTAATAAAACTTTTTAAGCAAATGGTATTTATATTAGATTATTATTTTTTAAATTTTAAAATAGGTATGACTTATTTTAAAAAGTATTTAAAAATAAAATTTTAACCTTCCAATTCAGCAAAAATTTATAACTTAAACATTTTTCTCATTCCATTTTCTATCTTTTATATTTCAAATTTGACCTTATCCACTTTTCTACCTTCTATATCATTGCCCTTCTAATATGACAGAAAAATATAGTATAAGATATGGGCTAAATTAGTATTTTCTTCTAAACCTTTCTGTGGGTAAGACAAAAATATAGTTTTTATAATAACTTCTTTTCGTATAACATATATGTTTTTCCTTTTCAAAATCAAGATACTTTATTGGTTTCGTATTAGATATATGGTACATTTCGTTAAATTTCGATTCAATGCAATTATTCTAACTTTGTTAAAATATTTCCTTGTATCGTTTTCAATTGTATAATGTGGTACTCGATTATAAAATAACAACGGGTTTATCATATTATAGGTTGCAAATATGATAATAGCAGATAAATGTGATTTTTGAGTTTTTTAAATAAATTTTTTTGAAAGATTTTATGAAAATATTTTTGAATTATGATATTTTAACAACTCTTCTTAATAATTTTTTACAATAGATTATGTGTCATTATTTGATTGGTTCGTATATTTGAATGTTATAAAAAAATTATTAAGAAACAGTTGTTAAAAAAATATTTTCCTACATTTTCACTTAATTAATCCACATTTTTATTGATTTTAATGGATTAAAAAAATCAGTAGATTGTAAAGTTCATAATCTTAACGTTTGCATCTACCGTTTTTTGTGAAAAAGTTTCATGAGAGTTCTACAATTCAATATCATGATGCTCATGTATAGTCTTTTTGTTGTAAACTTTTTGTAATATTTGAAAATATAATAGATTGATCTAATAAAAGATTAGTAGGCAATTACATATAACTCTGGTATAAATATGAACCAATATAATTTATGAAAATTTTCTCGCATTAAAATTGAATTGAAGTATAATTATAAGCGAATGAAAATTTAAACAGTTCTATACTTAAGTTTATTCTCTTGTAAAAGTTAATTTTTACTTGAAGAAAGAGTGCACTCGTTTAGAAAATCTATCAAAATATATATCCACGCCTCATTTATTTTTCAAAACTTTATATAATTATATTAAATACGACAATATAATAAAAAACGTTATCTTTTACATCATTTGAACCTTTCAATTCAATAAAATTAGATTCTCCATGTGGAATTGAACTTGTATTTTAACTCACAGCACAGATAAATATTTATCTAAATTACACAAATTTACAATAAATATTTTGGAACATATAACTTACATTAATTAATTTCACAATGAATAAAAATTAAAATAAACAAATTATATTCTAGGTGCATAGTAAATGTTTAAATTGTGATGAAAAGTTACTTTTTAATTGTTAAGAATTTATTTTAAAATTATTTAAAACATGACTCAAAAACATTAATACGCTAGATTTGCTTTAAAAAATATATATAAAAAAAACATAAGAATCTGATATTCAAATTCATGCAGTCTGACAGATTATAATCTGTTTTCAAACATAATAAAGTTATACATCCTAAAACAACAACAGTGAGTGATATACGAATAACTCGATCAAGTATATAACCATTTAACAGTTTCCAGATAGTAAACTCTTCATTTTTTGTTGTGTGGATTAGAATTTATGAAAAATTTGCAAAATTATTTGACCAACTTTAATCAAAACACAGCCTTAATCATTAAACTATCATTCTCTGCCTCCTTTTGTTGTTTTTTGTTGGCAGAACTCACTTTTGTGTGATTTGTTGTGCATTCATATTCATGGCAAGATCATTCACATCCACAGAATATACCAGGCTTCTATTGGGACCCTTGTAACTTACAAATTATTAGCAACCTTACCTGGGAGAGTGGAAACCCCATGTGCATGGTTTTGGATTTGGAGAGAGAGAAGAAAAAGAGTGGAAAGTGAAGAAAAAAATAATTAGACAAAACAATAAAAAATGAATTTTTGTGTAAGGTGAGTGAGGTTTCCAATGCCCACATGCCCCTTCTTCACCAAATAATTATTAAACCAAGATACACTTCCTTTTTGCACTGCACTTCCCCATTCCATGGATCCCATCTGGCTCATATTTATGTGGGGGAATCAAAGCTCTCTGCTTTTTCCATGAAAAAGAGTTCAACTTGTTGCGCTGAAGTGAACAATGGCAGAGGTGCTGCAGCAGGGTCGCTCTCTGGCTGAGACACCAACATATTCAGTTGCTTCTGTTGTTGCTGTCATGGTTTTTGTCTGCTTATTGGTTGAACGTTCTATCTACCGCTTTGGAGAGGTAAAGGCTGAAAATTTATGTGTAGAAGCTGCAGAGTAAACAAAATAACCCTTTTCACTGTTTGCTTCCTTGGTTGCTACTTGCCATGATAGTGTCACTCTTTTGTTTTCTAGTCATTTCCAGAAGCTCTTCCTCTTTCTGATAAGCTGTGACAGGCTTGAACTCGGAAAAAAAAATGGACTGATGATAAACACAAGTAGTTTTTCAAATCTCGTGAAGAAGATATGAAGCATTTTTTTCTTTGGTTGTGCAGTGGTTGAGGAAAACAAGAAGGAAGGCACTTTTTGCATCACTGGAGAAACTTAAGGAAGGTAATGACACTGAGATGATTTCACTGTTCCTGTTATTTTCAAGAGATGTGAAGCTATCGGTTTTACTGATATTTTGTTTTGTTTTGTGATAGAGCTGATGTTGCTGGGGCTTATCTCTTTGCTGTTGGCACAAAGTGCAAGGTGGATCTCTGAAATTTGTGTGAATTCGTCACTTTTTAGCAGTCGATTTTATATTTGTTCTGAACAAGACCTGGACATCAATGAGAATATCATGCTGGAAAGCTCATCATCTATACCTGGTGAAACTAGTATTCCAAAGGGATTAAATAATGGAGCATTCAACCAATGTGGAGAGGTAACATGCATTGATAACAATTACATCTAAGCTTTGCTTTCTTCATTGTATAATGTTTGGCAGTGAATATTTGTGATAGACTGGCTTCAGCTGTTACTTAATAGAACAAATACCCCTTCCCGAAAATACTAATACATGAATGCAGGGTCATGAACCGTTTGTTTCATACGAGGGTCTTGAGCAGCTGCACCGGTTTTTGTTTGTTCTCGGAATCACTCATGTTTTGTATAGCTGTCTGGCAGTTGGTTTGGCGATGAGCAAGGCAAGTCATCAAAATTTTCAGTTTATTATATGTAAAATACTTTTCTCAATCCAAAACTTTATACGCCACCTAAGCTATATTCTTTTACAATAGATTGATTATCGCAACAGTATTCTACTCATGAGCCATCTACTCGTATAACACTTTTCAGATACGCCAATTGTTGGGTTCCTGGAGTAGACAAACCAGGGATAATTTACACTTAAATTGTTGATTCAATGAGTCTTAAACCTTGAGCCACCTCAAATATAAAAGATCTCTATACCATTCTCAACCTAAAACTTTAGAATAATAGTTCTTATCGGAATCTT